TCCTCCTCCGCCTCCCCTCCGCCTCCGCCTCCGCCGTCCTCCTCCTCCCTCCTCCACCTCCTCCTCCTCCTCCGCCTCCTCCTCCTCTCCGCGCCTCCTCCTCCTACCCTCCTCCTCCTCCTCTCCCTCCTCCACCTCCTCCCTTTTCCTCCTCCTCCTCCTCCTCCTCCTTCCTCCTCCTCCTCCTCCTCCTCCTCCTCTTCCAACACCTCCTCCTCTCCCTCCCTCCTCCTCCGTCCTCCCTCCTCCCTCGTCACCTCCTCCTTTTCTCCTGCTCTCTCCTCTTCTTCTCCTCGTCTTCCTCCTCCTCGTTCTCCTCCCCCCTCCTCCTCGATCGACAAGGCCAGCGCGAAGCCCGACCCGCTCTGGGGCCCCTGCCTTGCCGCCGCCCTTGAAGCCGCCCTTGAAGCCGCCCTCGCCGAGGAAGAGGAGGACGAGGACGACGAGACCAGGATGGCGAGGCCAGGAGGAGGAGGAGGAGGAGGAGGAGGAGGAGGAGGAGGAGGAGGAGGAGGAGGAGGAGGAGGAGGAGGAGGAGGAGGAGGAGGGGGATCGATCGATCGAGCTCTCGGGCCGGTCCTCTGCTACACTACCTCGACTGGAGCCTCGTAGCGTTCTAGAGCCTTGTCTGGCCCAACTTTGGTCACTTCGTATGGGGGGCCGCTCGCGCAACTGGGCGCTCTGGCCCTGCCTGCGCCGTATTGCCCTGCGCAAGAGGCCGCGGGCGAAGTGGCACCCGCTCTACAGGGAACTTCCTCCCGCTCTGCGTCAGTATACGTCGCTTTGGCGCTTTCGGTGTCGCTCTGCTGCTCATCTGCGCTGGCCATGTCTCCATGCACGTCTCCATGTGTTGGGACTATCCGAAAGATGTGTCCGACGTCGTTGTGTTCGAAGACGTGCAAGGCAGTCCAAGCGGTTACTGCCTCCTCGAGACACTCGTCGAGCCTGGCGTACAACCACAAGTCCGTGACTACGGAGCCCTCCGATCTTCGTCTCTCCACTCAACCGGGAACGAGATCGAGGAATCCACGCGGCATCTCATGCACCGTGGCATCCTCGTTATCTTCGCGCCCCTGCGTGCCCAGCGTCGTGTCCTGGCCGTCGTAGCCCTGCTGGGCCTCGTGCGCCGCGGTGCCCTTTGTGCCCAGCGCTTTTCCTCCTTGGTCTGCGAGGCTCTGGCGCTCTTCGCAGGCCGTGGTGTCCTCGATGCCCAGTGTCGCGTCCTGGTTGGTGTAGTTTTCTGCTGCTGCACGTTCCTGTGGGCTCGCAGTGTACGGCGTTGCATGGTGCCACGGTTAGGTCGGGCGTTTCCCCCTACAAGCGGATTTGGGAGGAAAAATTGAAGCACCGGCAAACAACTATTCAAACATGGTCAACAAAAACTGGAAACATCGTCCCCAGAGTATTGGACTATTTTTGACCATTCCCCCTGTAGAAGGACGTGTCCGACTTAATGCCACGGCTTTCCAGCGGGCGCGCTGTGCATGCTGATCGGACGGTTGACAAGCAAAGCAAGAGAAATTGTGCGTGCCACTGCTGCCATGCGGGCCGTCGCCGCCCTCTTCTCTCATCACGATCTGCGTAGTGTCTGCGCTTCTGCGAGCGCTGCCCTGACAGTCTCTTGGCCCCAGATGGCAGCTGGAGGAGGAGAAGGAGAAGGCTGAGTAGGACACTGAGTAGGAGGAGGCGGAGGAGGAGGAGGAGGAGGAGGAGGAGGAACAGGAGGAGGAGGAGGGAGGAGGAAAGGGGAGAAGGAGGAGGAGGAACAGGAGGAGGAGGAGGAGGAAAAGAGCGAAGCGGCGAAGCACGGTGGATGTCTGTTTTTCCCAACCAACCTGTGTTGTTGGGTCCTCGTTCGAAGAGACGGTCCCCGCGTCTCTTTCTCCGTTTTTCTTCCTCGTCCCCTCTTCTCATCATCATCATCATCATCATCATCATCATCATCATCATCTTCATCATCGTCATCATCGTCGTCATCATCATCATCAACGTCAGCATCATCACCCCCCGGTGCAGCGTTTCGTGGCCCCACGGGGAATGCCACCGAAGGCCCCCGTGGCGCAGTCCGCATGCGTCTCCCTCACCCAGTACAGCGTTTCGTGGTCCTATAGGGGCTTCACCGAAGGTCCCCGTGGCGCAGTCCGCATGCGTCTCCCCCACCCAGTACAGCGCTTCGTGGCCCCATAGGGGCTCCACCGAAGGTCCCCGTGGCGCAGTCCGCATGCGTCTCCCTCACCCAGTACAGCGTTTCGTGGCCCCATAGGGAACGCCACCGAAGGTCCCCGTGGCGCAGTCCGCATGCCCCGTCTCCCCGTCTCCCACCCAGTACAGCGCTTCGTGGTGGCCCCACCGAAGGTCCCGTGGCGCAGTCCGCATGCGTCCCCCCACCCAGTAAAGCGCTTCGTGGCCCCATAGGGGCTCCACCGAAGGTCCCCGTGGCGCAGTCCGCATGCGTCTCCCTCACCCAGTACAACGTGTCGTGACCCCATAGGCAACGCCACCGAAGGTCCCCGTGGCGCAGTCCGCATGCGTCTCCCCCCCAGTACAAAGTTTCGTGGCCCCATCGGGGCTCCACGGAAGGTCCCCGTGGCGCCATCCGCATGCGTCTCCCTCACCCAGTACAGCGTTTCGTGGCCCCATATGGATCCCCACCGAAGGTCCCCGTGGCGCAGTCCGCGTGCGTCTCCCTCACCCAGTGCAGCGCTTCGTGGCCCCATAGGGAGCTCCACCGAAGGTCCCCGTGGCGCAGTCCGCATGCGGTTTCCCCACCCAGTGCAGCGTGTCGTGGCCCCATAGGGAGCTCCACCGAAGGTCCCCGTGGCGCAGTCCGCATGCGTCTCCCCCACCCAGTACACCTCCGTCGGAGGCCGTCGGAGTTCCGCGCCTCGCTCGCCCGTCGTCGCTCTGCCAAGCAGCACGAGCCTTGCCCGCTGTCAGCCAGCCAGCTAGCTATATTTGCTCCGCGCAGCGGACGACCCGCGCGCGTCGCTGGGACCCCTCCGGGGCGACCTGCGCGCGTCGCGGGGACTCCGCGCTGCGCTGCGCCCGCAGCCTTGGACTTTTGACTGCGCGGGCAAAGAGGGAGTAAAAGAAGGGGAGGAAGCGGGCGCGATCCTCGCGGGGGGGCGCGCCGACATTGGCGTCGCGGCGCGCGGGCGATGCCGTCGGGGAGTCTCGGGGAAGCTCTTTGCCCAGCGTCACGAATAATCAGAGGCAGTCGTTCTCAAACTATTGACATTCCGTATATAATTACACCATGCTTTGTCATACTCGCATTCATGCACGTCGACTCGCTCGCACGCATATTCATTCACAGTCAAACGCACTCGCGCTCATATTCACCCGCGCTCAATCTCCCTACGTACTCAGATCAATCGTTTTCGTTCGCGTTGCGTACCACGCCACAAATGTCGGCACACCCATAGCACGGTTCGTTGCCTCATAGGGATCACCACCGAAAAGGTGAATCACAATTGCGGTACTCACACCTGAATATGGTTGGGTCCTTCTTCAAGCTAATTCGGTCTCGGCTCCCCCCGTGTAGGAGGGGACGACGGTCTGCCTCGGTCGGCGTCTCGGTCTGCTAGGCGGAGCACGCGTCATGTACACGACGGCGAAGCTGTCGACGCGCCAGATACGCTTCGACTGCTACGGTCGGCCTTGATTGGACAGGACATGCGAGAGGACACAAAGCCCTTCCGAAGGCCACATTGCCATAGGAATGCAGGAGGCACGGGTCGCGAGACACAAGACACAAACATACCAATGATTTGGCAGGGCAGACCTACTAATCCGGGCCTACTGTAGTCAACGCGACATGCGCGCTGATAAGGCGAAGGCAAGCGGAACGAGGACGCCACATGCGCCCCCACCGCACGCCAACCGCTCCTGCACATCACAAACACGGCAATGAAAACACGCCAGTGGCACAGACACTGTGCCCATAGCGCTGTTGGGCAGCAGATGCCAACCGACGACCCCGAAAAAACTGGAACGTACTGGATTCATGAACATGCTCCCGCAATAATGCAGTTAGTGGAGATGGCATTGACCAGGGGCCAGATACGAAAGATGCATGGTGAAGTGAACGAGCCGGTTCCAATCTCGCGATACTGGCGTGAAGCTGGGAAGAGAAGGAGGGCACAAAAAGAACAGGCGAAATCCGCGGAACAACATAACTACAGGAGGAGGATGGCGAGGCGGAGGCGTTGGCAGAATCTTCGGGTCAGCTGTCAAGCTCATGAAGCCCGCGCAGGCAATATTGTGGGCAACTTGGGCGGCCGCCATGGAACGTTGGACGCCTGGCACAGCGGGATCGTTACACCCTTTCTAAAACAGAAAGTCAACCAATCACTTTTGTATTTCGGGGCCCTCTCGGGGGTCATCTTGGGCGTTTTGGGGCTCGCTTGGGAGCTTCAATGGAACGGAATTGGGACAAGCAGCCCCGTCTGGGAAATTTCTCGGAAGCCCATGGAGCTTTTACGAAACCTCTCGGAACCCCCTCGGAAGTTTTTTGGGAGCCTCTGAGAAGCCTCTCGGAAACCTCTAAGGGGACTGCCAGAAGTCTCTCGGAAACCTTTCTGAGGTCTCCCAGAAGCTCTACGGATCCCGTAAAGAGCTTGTCAGGAACTGCTCATGAACCTCTCAGACATGTGACCATTTGCAGTCTGAGCAAAATTCAACGGGAAAAACAAAAGCAAGTCTGTTACTTCACTGTGGAGCCGAGGCCTCAAGGGTTCGAGTATCCGAGATGATGGCGGAAGCCAAGCTCGAGCTGGCACCCGCCGGCGAAGACGAGAACCCGACACGCGCCAAAGGCGAGGATGAGGCGGGGGAGGCGGAGGAGGAGGAGGAGGCAGAGTAGGAGGAGGCGGAGGAGGAGGAGGCGCCTTTGGGCTTTCCTGAATGGGGGGAAGCTGGCTAAGGGGCGAAGAAGCGTGCACCCTTCGGGCCCCCGAGGGCCCGTTATAGCGGTGCATGAGAGGTGCACGTCTCTTCCTTCCCCTGGACTCCCCCCCCCTGGACTCCCCTGGACTCCCCTTCCCCCCCCTGGTTCCCCCAGACCCAGCTCAGGGGTCTGGGGGAACCGTGCAAGGTTCCGACTTCTAAGGCCAGGCGCGAGCATCTTGACAGGATAGGTCGCGGCCTGTTTCCGAAATGCTGAGCATCATAGCCTCGTTATCACTACGTGATGGCGGATATCCTGGACATCCCCTCCAGAAGCGGCTGCGCACGAAGGTGTCGCTTGACGAAGTGGCGCTTGCTCAAGCCTAGCCTTCGCTAGCACCACGTCTGCATGTCTTTGAATTTATATGTCTGCACAGGTTTTCGGCCTAGCTTGACGGGGGAAAACAAAAACATCCCCTCCAAGCTTGACGGGGGAAAAAAACATCCCCTCCATCAACCAACGCCCAGAGACTGGCGGCACCACGAGTGCCGGCGGTCGCGGCAGCGTCGGAGGCGGCGCCCTGCAGGGCGCATCGGTAGGACAGGCGGCCTCGGGGCCTGGAGGAGGAGGAGGAGGATGAGAAGGAGGAGGAGGAGGAGCAGGAGGAAGAGGAGGATGAGGAGGAGGAAGAGGAGGATGAGGAGGAGGAACACGAGGAGGGGAGCCAATACCATAACGGGTTCGATGCCTCACGGTACTCAACGCCGAGTTGCTGGTTTCAGCCACCTGTAGGGCCGAACGGCGTCAGGCGGAGCAGGAAGCGGAGAATACTCCTTGGGCATTCTCGCCTGCGCAGCTTTCACTACGTTATGCTGCTACGGGAGCGTGAGGGGGGATCCACCTTGCTTCGCGGCCGCTTCCTAAGCTATGTGGTAGATATAGAAGCTAAAAAAGGTTACGAAGAGGAGAAGGAGAAGGCGGAGGAGGAGGAGGAGGAGGAGGAGGAGGAGGAGGAGGAAGAGGGGCAACACGCAAGCAAGCAGGCAAGCGGCAGCTGGGGGCGCACGTCCGCGGGGTGTAAAGCACCAGGCCCCGCAACTGAAGGCGCGCGTGCGCGAGGGAAGGCGGCGGGGGGGCGGGGCGTGCCTTCGGTGTTGGGTCGGCTGGCGCCACTAGGAGAGAGGGTTATCACAAACAGCGACCATATCCATATCCACGCCCTCGCGGTCTGGACTCCAGAAGCCGATCCCATGGATACGCTGTCACATGGATACGTTCCCCGCGTGGCATCCGCAACAAAAAACGAACCGTACCACCCGGCACACGAGGCCATCGATTTGGATATGTTTTCCGCCCACGAGCGATTCAGGGCTGTTGGGCCCGAGTAGGAGGCTACTAAGGCAGATTAGGCCAGTTTTCGACCACGGATCTAGCAGCGCCGATGCTGCACTAAACCTCCCAGGAGCTGCATTTTAACGAGGGGGTGGCGGGACGGAGGTGGGGCGTGGCGCTGCGTGCTCAAAGCGAGGCCCCAACTCCATAGGATTGTCGGGAACGGTAGAAAGAGGATGGCGAGGAGGAAAAAAGACAATCGACTCGAATCGAGCTCAGGGGGCACTGCATTCGTTAGATCTTTCCCTTTTGGGAAGCCTGGGCTACTCCTGGTAAGTTCTCTATAAGAAGGAAAAAAAGAACAAGATAAACATAAGCTTTCGACGGTCGGCGCGGATTTCTTGGACCTGCGCTCGCTCGACCCCCCTCCCTGGCGCGCGGAGCGCGCCAGGGGCGGGGCCAGAGGCGCCGCCAGTGGGGCCCAGCGCCGCTCCAAGAAATCCGCGCGGAGTGCCGACAGTGTATGTTTATGCAGTTGTTTCGTCTTCGCTTTTTACCAGTTTACGATATGCTTGCTGCTTCGCCCTGGGGGCCCAGCAGGGAGAACGAGTGAGAGGAAGGAGGAGGAGCAGGAGGAGGAGGAGGAGGAGGAGGAGGAGGAGGAGGATGAGGACAAGGAGGAGGAGGAGGAGAAGGAGGGGGATGATAATGAGGCAGGAGGAGGGGGGGAGGAGAGAGGAGGAGGAGAGGAGGAGGAGGAGGAGGAGGAGGAAGAGGAAGAGAAGGCGGAGGCGGAGGCGGAGGCGGAGGAGGAGGAGGAGGAGGGAGGAGGAGGAGGAGGAGGAGGAGGAGGAGGAGGAGGAGGGGGAGGGGGAGGAGGAGGAGGAGGAGGGAGGAGGATGAGGAGGAGGGCAAGGGGAGAGGCGCAGAGTGCTGCGGAGCTGCGGAGGGCAAGTGAGGGCCCAGCAGCGCAGGATGACTGGGAAGCATTGCATTCTGACTCCCCGCATAAGCTTTCGGCGCTCCGCGCGGACTTCTTGGATCAGCGCTCGACCCCCCTCCTTGGCGCGCGGTGCGCGCCAAGGGCGGCGCTGGAGGCGCCGCCAGGGGGGCCCAGTGCAGATCCAAGAAATCCGAGCGGAGCGACAACAATTTCGATGTATGTATGTTTTTCGTCTTCGATCCTCCCAGCATGCTCATCCTCCGCCGAATGCCGAATTTGCAAGGTCTCCTTGAATCCGCCGCCCTTGCCCTTGGTCTTGACCGCCTCGCGATCCTGATGGCTTGGCGAGGGGGGATGAGGATTTTTTGAACGATGACGCGAACATCTGACTGGAATCTGCGCGGGCGCTGGCTGAAACATCGGTCGGTTTCCGCAAACTTGGCGCACTGGTTGTTTGTGATCCAAACCATCCTGTGGTGTTGGGTCCTCGTTTTGAAGAGACGGCCCCCGCGTTCCTCCTCCTCCTCCTCCTCCTCCTCCTCCTCCTCCTCCTCCCTTTGGCACAGCCCTCACACGTTTCGTGCTCCCATAGGGAGCTCCACCGAAGGCCCCAGTGGGGGTGCCCGCGTGCGTCCGCCCCACCCAGTACAGCGCTTCGTGGCCCCATAGGGGGCTCCACCGAAAGGCCCAGTGGGGGTGCCAGCGTGCGTCCCCCCCACCCAGTACAACGTTTCGTGGCCCCATAGGGAACCCCACCGAAGGCCCCAGTGGGGGTGCCCGCGTGCGTCCGCCCCACCCAGTACATCGTTTCGTGGCTCCATAGGGAGCTCAACCGAAAACCCCAGTGGGGGTGCCCGCATGCGTCCGCCACGTCCAGTACTGCCTTTCGTGGCCCCATGAGGAGCTCCACCCAAGGCCCCAGTGGGGGTGCCCGCATGCGTCCGCCACACCCAGTCTGTACAGCGTTTCGTGGCCCTATAAAAAAGGGGCTCCACCGAATGTCCCAGTAGCACCGCCCGCATGCGTCTCCCCCGCCCAAAACAACGCTTCATGGCCCCATAAAAAACTCCACCGGAGGTCTCAATTGCACCGCCCGCATGCGTCTCCCCCACCGAGTACAACGCTTCGTGGCCCCATAGGGAGCTCCACCGAAGGTCCCAGTGGCGCAGCCCGCATGCGTCTCGCCCAACCAGTACAGCTTTTCGTGGCCCCATAGGGAGCTCCACCGAAGGTTCCACTGGCGCAGTCCGCGTGCGTCTCCCCCACCCTGCACAGCGTTCCATGACCCTACAAGGGGGCTCCACCGAAGACGATACCTACAACTGCGGTGTTCACAACTGCATGTGGTCGGGTCCTTCGCCAGGTGATTTGTTTCTGCAACCTCTGGTTTTTGCTGGAAGCTTGGAGAAGTAAATTGTTTGAATCGTGCACACACATACTGTGGAGCAAGCTGCACATGCGCACTTCAGAAAACAATGGGCGGGAGGCAAGGAAGGCAGGAAAAAGGGCGAATCTAGTCCCACCAGCCTTGTGGGCGACAGGTGGTCTTACGATTTTTTCCTCTTCCACAATCCCTTCTTCCCCTTTGCGGAAGTGTTTACCCCGCCCCCTCCCCCTCCCCTGGACCTGTACGGGGCGTCTCGCCATGTGTCAGAGGGTCCTTTTTCGCACAAGATGGCTCCAAGAGGGCCTCATAGAGCCCAAGATGATCTCCAAGATCGCTCAAGATAGCCGAACATGGTTCAAGACAACTTCCGACATGCCTTCAGGAGGCCCCAAGAAGGCCACAAGACGGATCCAAATGCTTTTTTGAGGCCCTCTCGGGGCCTTCCCGAACAGCCGAACTCCTTCAAACACCTAAGGGAAATCACAGATGTGTGCCTTCTCGCTTTTTCGCTTTCGATGCGCTTTTGAAGCCTCAGCGTGGCCCCAAAGTGGCCCAAGAAAGCTCCAAGAGGTTTCCATGAGGCCCCCAAAACGGCCCCAAGAGCGCCCAACATCGCCCCAAGAGGGCGCCAAAAGGCGATGTTGATGGCCCCGGAGGGGGAAGCAAATCGAGGACCCCCCTCCTTTGATCGATGGTCTCCAAGACGGCCCCAAGAGGCGCCCCAGGGAAAACCCCAAAACAGCCCCTCTTGAGCCCCAAGAGGGTCCCAAGAGGGCCCCCCAAAGGGCCCCAAGACGGCCCCAATAGGCCCCCGAGCGGCCTCAGAGAGCCCAAGATGACCCCCAAGATGGCTCAGATAATAACCCAAGCTGGCTCACAAGATGCTCCAAACGGCCCCAAGACCGCGCTCCAAGAGAGCCCCGAGAAGCGGTTTGCGGGCTCCTGAAGGGGGAACTGAGTTGGGGACCCCCCACATCCTGTAATCGACGGCCTCCAACATGATCCCAAGAGGGTTCCAAGAGGGCCCCCGAACCCCCCGGAGAACACCTGCAGTAGCAACGCCCGCAAGAATACCTCTAGATGGTTCCATGAGTCCTCGCCCGCGCCGTCCTCATCCAAGTTCTCGTCCTTCTCGTCCTCGTCCTGGTCCGCGTCCTCCTGTTCCTCCTCGTCCGCAAAGTCCTCCTGCTCCTCCTCTTCCTCCTCTTCCCCTCGCGGCCCACACGGATGGCCCGAAGAGGCCTTCCAAGACCGCCCCTTGCTCCCAGAGGTCTCTCGGTTCACCCTGGTTGCTCGCTTTGTGCCCCTAGATGTGTCTCTTCGCCCCTTTTCCAGTCAGCTCTCATGGGCAGGGCTTCTGAATGGGCTGGCGGGGATACCTTTTCGGTCCGCGAGCGATGCGGTACAGCCGCACGCAATCAGAAAGTCGCGAGCAGCGAGCAAACATCTAAATTAACCGCGCGCTCACAGGCAAGCTGCGGAACGCCCAGCGAATGAGGAGGACCGGGAAGTGCACCAGGTCCACGTGCAGGCCCAAATTGGCGAAGATGAACAAGCCCTTGTACCCGAAAACCACTATCACGTAGTCGAGTAGGACGAAGGCGACGTGCAGGCGCTCAACGGAAGATTCCGGATCGCCGAGGGGGGCCGTGAGCGCGATGATGGCGGACGTCCGTGCGGGGGGGACGCGACGGCGGAGGCCGCGGCGAAGGAGCAAAAACGACGCCAAGCAAAGCACCGGCAGCGAGGCGGCAGACGCCAGGAACCACACCCGACGTAAAGCGACATCGCCGAACCTGTCGATGATGGCGCCCAGACTGGCGCGGGGGAGGTCAGAGCGTCCGTCGACCACGAACGGGCGGGGGATGCGACCGCGGGCGGGTGGCGGGCCCGAGCGGCTGGGGGCACACCTGGTGGGGATACTTTTTTTAGTTAGCGGCCGCGGGCGACCGCGCCGGCGGCGAGTCAGGTCAAAGCGGGCTACGCAGAGACTAATTAGGCAGAGGAAACGCGAGAAAATTAAAGCAGAGGCAACGCGCGAGGCAACAGCTACGCGCCGGCCGAGGCCTCACGCCGCGGCCCAACGGCAGGTGGGTGGCTGAAGGGACTGAGACTGAAGGGAACTGCCAGCGTGCAAAGCTGCAAGTCCGTCGGAGGCACTGGTGGGGATACGCGACGCATGAAGAGCTTGCTTCATGCATCCACCGCTTGAGAACCTCTTCGTTACCGTTGCTGGACGCGCCCAGAAACATTAGCGCGCAGCTCCACGCAAGAAGAACTCGCGTGTTTGCAGCCTTGGATTCAACCCCTGGGTGTGGTTGCGATGCCGCCCCGCGCCAATTGCCAGGTCACCCCAGCCCAAATTGACCGCTCCGGCCACTCCTGCTGGAACTCTTTCCGCGGTGGGTGCCCCCTTTCCCTGCCCGTTTTCTGCGGCCGCCCTCTTCCTTCTCCCCATCTCCTGCTGCCAGTCAATGAGTACGCCGATCGTCCCCGGCTACTGGAGCGCGCGAGCGGATCGCCGCTGCCGCGCTGCGACGTACAAGTGTCCAGAGGAGGGAAGGGGGAAACGCTGCCCTAAAGCTGAGTCCACTTGAGCGACGATCAGAAACGGATCTTACGCAAGACGACACAGCGACGTTACGCGGTTGCTTACGCAGGCAGCCAACGCGGCACGCTACAATGGAGACGAGTGCGCTTATGCGCGACCTTACGCTGGCAGCTTACCCGCGAATGTCGGCGCAGACGACCCCGATGTTTTTGCGTCGCTCACTTGATTTAGGTCGGGCGTGTCCCCCTGCAGGCGGGTTTTGGACGAAAAATGAGACATACCCAACAAGACGCAACACAAAAATGCTCAAACATAGCCTAAACAATCGTCACCAAGAACTAGTTTTTTTTCCTCCTGTAGAGGGACAGGCCCGACTTAACCTTTGACGGAAGCAGGTGGAGGTCTGCATCGCGTACGGCAGGTTCGTGTCGTGCCGACCCCAGCGTTGGTTTTTGACACCGCGCTGGATCGTTCAACCTTGAACGATCGGCCGTCTCCGCAACGTCCGATCGTTCAACATCGATCGATTCTGGGTCGCCGGCGGCGTTCAACCTGGAACGCCCGCGCTGGGGTCGCCGCTGGTCGACACGACGCAAACCTACCGTATCTGAGTATCGTTTAACCGATCCCCATCCCCAGCGGCGTGGCCTGGGCCCTACTGGCCGATTTACCCCCCTAGATGGGGACATAGGTCGTTCCCTTCGGGTTTCGAGGGGTGTATCCCCAACTGGGGGGGCAATCTGGTGGGGGTCTCGAAGGGGATGGGGATGGGGATCGGCCAAACGATACTGAGCATTGACTGGAAATCGCCCCTGGCAACAGACCCCGCCGAGCTGGGGGCCCCGAGATCCGCGGGGGCGGCTCGCCTCTCTCGGGGGGAACCCGCGGCCGACCGACCGCGCCGACGCCGCGCTGTGGGGCGCCGCCGCCGCACCCTGGGAGAGCCGGGGGGGGAACGAAAGGGGGGGACTGCACATAAGGAAGGAAGCCCCTTTTTTTCCAAGGAACAACGCATAAGGAGCGAAACATAATCCATAACGCATGAGGGACGATAATGAAATAAATTTAAGAAAACAGAAATATATAGCGAAGACAAGCGTACACCAGGAACCTACCCCATGCCCATATCTGGGAGAACGAATAGCAGAGGGTAAGGCAGAGAATCAACTCGCGTAACTGATCTTCCCAGCGCCTCCCGGCACCGGGAGGCACCCAGACATCGAGGAACGGGCCCGGCGGCGGGCCGAGACCAGCTGCCTGCAGCAGATTTCGCACCCCCTGTGAAGAGAAGCATAATCACACTACGACACGAACGTGATGTAGACGTGAACGAATGTGATGAAGTTGTTTCTTTACCAGCGCCCTCGCAATCACGCACCCCAACGTTGTGCGCGGGACTGTATCTTTCTCTTGTCTGTAGCCCGAAGCGGTGCGGTGATAGACCGTGCGGTGACCTCGAGATTCCCCAACACCTCACCGCACGGTCCGTCACCGCACGGTCTTGGGACCCTGGAGGCCCCTGTCGCCCGAGACGTCCTCGGAGAGCGACCCGAGTCCCAAACGCGTGCGGTCGAGCGAGGGTCGGAAGTCGGGCGATGGCTGGCAAATCCGTGGCTGCTGAAACGGTCTTCCCGGAAGGAAGAAATCAACTTCCCGGAATCAACTTCAGCGCGCGAAAGAAGAAGCGGGCTGTCTCCCGGAAGGAAACATCAGGTTTCCGGAGCTCTGCTTTAGCAGCCACGGGCTTGCCAGCCTTCGCCTGGCTTCTGAGAGGGAGGGGACGCGAGGAGGAAGCCTTTTCAGAAAGCGGCGGGGCTTCTCGGGAGCCCTCAGGCCCTCCGGGAGGGGTCTTCTGGGCAGGCGCGTTCCACTACTCGCAAGAGCAACTGCCCGCAGATGGCCTGGATCTGCCGCGGGGGATCTGCGATATACAGTGGGCCCGTGGAGTAAGGGTGCGCGATAGGGATGCAAGGGCCCTGGACGCCCATTTCGAAGCGTTTCGAGCGGGGCGCGGCCAACGAAAGTGTCCAAGGATGGACCCAGGAGGCAAGGATGCAAGGGTACCCTTGAGAAGGCTGCCCATCATCACTCTGCGGGTCGCCTGTATGCTACGTCGAGGTACTGAAGCACATGCATTTCGGACGTTTGCGCGTAGGATCTTTGCGAATAGTGGAACGCGCTCGGTGGTAGTCACCACCAGATATCTCACCATCTGGTTTGGGGGCTCCCAATCGGTGAACATCCGCGCCGTCGGGGAACACTCGGATAGCTTCTCCGTAGGCCCGGGGGGGGACTTCCGAACCTTCTGGGAGGGCCTGCTCCTTCGCACGCCCCCCCGGGGCTCGTCGCAGAGAGGAGGAGAAGGGGGGTGGGGGAATGGGGGCCATGCAATAGATCCTCCTCCTCCTCCTCCTCCTATTCCTTCTCCTGCTCCTCCTCCTGCTCCTCCTCCTCCTCTGCATGCGGTAAGACCCCTTGCTGCTAGAGGTCTGCAGTCAACCCTTATGTGAAGGCCACACGATAAGGATGCCAGGGCCTCAGAGGGCCATGTCGAGACACTCTGCGAGCGGGGCGCGGCCAGCGAAAGCGGCCAAGGATGGGCCGAAAGGTAAGGATGCGAAGGGGTCACCTGGGAACGTTGATTACCCTTACCATGCGGGTTGGCTGTAGATACGGTAAGGCCCCTTGCTGCAAGAGGTCTGGGGACACGTTTGCCGTCGATCAATTTGTTGACCCTGAATTTCGCAAGGTGCCCCAGAAGCCCATTGCGCTTCCCGGGGCCATCAGGGGATAACGAACGAGTTCGGTGGATCACCTGCTGGCAAGCTGGCTTCGTATTTGGCTTGATGTGCCGCGGCAAGTTGCGTCGTGACGACCCAAGCGTTGGTTTCTGACACCGCGCGGACCGCTCCACCTTGCACGATCGGCGCTTTGCGAAGCGGCGGATCGTTCAACATCGACCCGCTCCCAGCCCAGCGGCGCTCAACCTTGAATGCCCGAGCTGACATCGCAGCCGCGTCGACACGATACGACCCTACAGTTTTTAATACATGGGATTTTTGATAATAAAGGGTTTTAATACATGATCAATCTATGAATAAATTTCTGCATGCACTCATCGTTGTTTTTAATACTAAATCCCTGCATGTTTGATACATGATCCGCACGCGGAGCATGTATTGAAAACGGCACTGTACTGTACCGTAATCGAAAATCAACAGAGCCGCTTGAGCAGCAGAGCCTACAGAGGCGAGGCCCCAACCCGCGGAACCCGCGGAGGCGGATGGGCCCTTTCAGAGGGCGCGTGGTATCGGATCCGCCGACGCCTCGCGCGCCTCAGGACGGCGGCGCCGCACCCGCCGAGTCGATCGACAAATCGCGGGCGCCACGTTTCGCCCACGACGATCTAGGCCTTAGAAGGCCTTCGACACGGGGCCTTCGACGAGGACATTCGACGAGGGCTTTCGAAGGCCCTCGGATGCTTGCCGAGGCCTCCGAGCGGGCCTCCGAGCGGGACTCCGAAAGCTTCTGGATGGTCTCCGGAGACCTCCGAAAGCCTCACAAAGTCACGGAGATGTCCTCGATCTTCGCCGGAGGCCGAAACGGACATCCAAAAACCAAATACGTGGAAACACCTCTGTTCGACACCCCCTCCCCGGCGCTCCCTCCTCCTCCTCCCCTTCCCTCCTCCTTCTCCTCTTCCTCCTCCTTCTCTTATAATTCCTCCTTCTCCTCCTCCTCCTCCTCCTCCTCCTCCTCGCCCTGCTCCCCCTTCTCCTCAGCATCCCTCCTCATCCGCTTCCTCTCCTCCCTCCCCCTCCTCCACCTTCTCCTCCTCCTCCTCCACCTCCTCCACCTCCACCTCCTCCTCCTCCTCGTCCTCGTCCTCGTCCTCGTCC